GCTGCACCTTATTGGCTGAGAGCAGCGGCTGCACCTTATTGGCTGAGAGCAGCGGCTGCACCTTATTGGCTGAGAGCAGCGGCTGCACCTTATTGGCTGAGAGCAGCGGCTGCACCTTATTGGCTGAGAGCAGCGGCTGCACCTTATTGGCTGAGAGCAGCGGCTGCACCTTATTGGCTGAGAGCAGCGGCTGCACCTTATTGGCTGAGAGCAGCGGCTGCACCTTATTGGCTGAGAGCAGCGGCTGCACCTTATTGGCTGAGAGCAGCGGCTGCACCTTATTGGCTGAGAGCAGCGGCTGCACCTTATTGGCTGAGAGCAGCGGCTGCACCTTATTGGCTGAGAGCAGCGGCTGCACCTTATTGGCTGAGAGCAGCGGCTGCACCTTATTGGCTGAGAGCAGCGGCTGCACCTTATTGGCTGAGAGCAGCGGCTGCACCTTATTGGCTGAGAGCAGCGGCTGCACCTTATTGGCTGAGAGCAGCGGCTGCACCTTATTGGCTGAGAGCAGCGGCTGCACCTTATTGGCTGAGAGCAGCGGCTGCACCTTATTGGCTGAGAGCAGCGGCTGCACCTTATTGGCTGAGAGCAGCGGCTGCACCTTATTGGCTGAGAGCAGCGGCTGCACCTTATTGGCTGAGAGCAGCGGCTGCACCTTATTGGCTGAGAGCAGCGGCTGCACCTTATTGGCTGAGAGCAGCGGCTGCACCTTATTGGCTGAGAGCAGCGGCTGCACCTTATTGGCTGAGAGCAGCGGCTGCACCTTATTGGCTGAGAGCAGCGGCTGCACCTTATTGGCTGAGAGCAGCGGCTGCACCTTATTGGCTGAGAGCAGCGGCTGCACCTTATTGGCTGAGAGCAGCGGCTGCACCTTATTGGCTGAGAGCAGCGGCTGCACCTTATTGGCTGAGAGCAGCGGCTGCACCTTATTGGCTGAGAGCAGCGGCTGCACCTTATTGGCTGAGAGCAGCGGCTGCACCTTATTGGCTGAGAGCAGCGGCTGCACCTTATTGGCTGAGAGCAGCGGCTGCACCTTATTGGCTGAGAGCAGCGGCTGCACCTTATTGGCTGAGAGCAGCGGCTGCACCTTATTGGCTGAGAGCAGCGGCTGCACCTTATTGGCTGAGGAGGTGAGCTGAGAGCAGCGGCTGCACCTTATTGGCTGAGAGCAGCGGCTGCACCTTATTGGCTGAGAGCAGCGGCTGCACCTTATTGGCTGAGAGCAGCGGCTGCACCTTATTGGCTGAGAGCAGCGGCTGCACCTTATTGGCTGAGAGCAGCGGCTGCACCTTATTGGCTGAGAGCAGCGGCTGCACCTTATTGGCTGAGAGCAGCGGCTGCACCTTATTGGCTGAGAGCAGCGGCTGCACCTTATTGGCTGAGAGCAGCGGCTGCACCTTATTGGCTGAGAGCAGCGGCTGCACCTTATTGGCTGAGAGCAGCGGCTGCACCTTATTGGCTGAGAGCAGCGGCTGCACCTTATTGGCTGAGAGCAGCGGCTGCACCTTATTGGCTGAGAGCAGCGGCTGCACCTTATTGGCTGAGAGCAGCGGCTGCACCTTATTGGCTGAGAGCAGCGGCTGCACCTTATTGGCTGAGAGCAGCGGCTGCACCTTATTGGCTGAGAGCAGCGGCTGCACCTTATTGGCTGAGAGCAGCGGCTGCACCTTATTGGCTGAGAGCAGCGGCTGCACCTTATTTGGGCCTGAATGGAGAGCAGCGGCTGCACCTTATTGGCTGAGAGCAGCGGCTGCACCTTATTGGCTGAGAGCAGCGGCTGCACCTTATTGGCTGAGAGCAGCGGCTGCACCTTATTGGCTGAGAGCAGCGGCTGCACCTTATTGGCTGAGAGCAGCGGCTGCACCTTATTGGCTGAGAGCAGCGGCTGCACCTTATTGGCTGAGAGCAGCGGCTGCACCTTATTGGCTGAGAGCAGCGGCTGCACCTTATTGGCTGAGAGCAGCGGCTGCACCTTATTGGCTGAGAGCAGCGGCTGCACCTTATTGGCTGAGAGCAGCGGCTGCACCTTATTGGCTGAGAGCAGCGGCTGCACCTTATTGGCTGAGAGCAGCGGCTGCACCTTATTGGCTGAGAGCAGCGGCTGCACCTTATTGGCTGAGAGCAGCGGCTGCACCTTATTGGCTGAGAGCAGCGGCTGCACCTTATTGGCTGAGAGCAGCGGCTGCACCTTATTGGCTGAGAGCAGCGGCTGCACCTTATTGGCTGAGAGCAGCGGCTGCACCTTATTGGCTGAGAGCAGCGGCTGCACCTTATTGGCTGAGAGCAGCGGCTGCACCTTATTGGCTGAGAGCAGCGGCTGCACCTTATTGGCTGAGAGCAGCGGCTGCACCTTATTGGCTGAGAGCAGCGGCTGCACCTTATTGGCTGAGAGCAGCGGCTGCACCTTATTGGCTGAGAGCAGCGGCTGCACCTTATTGGCTGAGAGCAGCGGCTGCACCTTATTGGCTGAGAGCAGCGGCTGCACCTTATTGGCTGAGAGCAGCGGCTGCACCTTATTGGCTGAGAGCAGCGGCTGCACCTTATTGGCTGAGAGCAGCGGCTGCACCTTATTGGCTGAGAGCAGCGGCTGCACCTTATTGGCTGAGAGCAGCGGCTGCACCTTATTGGCTGAGAGCAGCGGCTGCACCTTATTGGCTGAGAGCAGCGGCTGCACCTTATTGGCTGAGAGCAGCGGCTGCACCTTATTGGCTGAGAGCAGCGGCTGCACCTTATTGGCTGAGAGCAGCGGCTGCACCTTATTGGCTGAGAGCAGCGGCTGCACCTTATTGGCTGAGAGCAGCGGCTGCACCTTATTGGCTGAGAGCAGCGGCTGCACCTTATTGGCTGAGAGCAGCGGCTGCACCTTATTGGCTGAGAGCAGCGGCTGCACCTTATTGGCTGAGAGCAGCGGCTGCACCTTATTGGCTGAGAGCAGCGGCTGCACCTTATTGGCTGAGAGCAGCGGCAGCAGAGCAGCCGCGATGACGTCAGCCTCTGGTAGCAGTTTGCTAAGGCCCTCGTCTGAGCCTGTGAGGCCGGCCACTATGCCCACCGCCATGCGCTGCACCTGCCACGCCGAGAGAAGCGGGGTGGGGAGGGACGGCGGGGGGTTGGGGGAGGGGGGGGAGGGGGGGGAGGGTGGGTGTGGGGTGATTGCATAGCATCAGTCACACCACACTTGTCGTCTGAGCCTGTGACGCCGGCCACTATGCCCACCACCGTGCGCTGCACCCGCTAAGGAAGGCGAGAGAGGCGGAAAAGAGGAAATCGCTCAACCAAGCTTGTCCTTCGAGCCTGCGAGCCCGGCCACTATGGCCACTGCCATGCGCCGCACGGGCCGTGAGATGGGTCAATCGATAAGGCAAGCGGATCGGATGGGTTCAGGGTTTGGGGCATAGATTTGTGAAGCGGGGAAACGGGAAAACTGACAGGATGCGTTGCAATGGCGACATGAAGGAAAAGGATCGTAAGGCCAATTTAGGCTTGTTTGGGGCAAAAAAGGGTGGAAAGAAGGAGTGTCCGCGGGCCGAGATGGGGACTGAACGAGACCGAGAAAGGGGAGGTAGCTTCTCGGACCATAGAGGCTGGCCTTAGCGACGTAGCGTTTGCAACCCAGCGAGATCCAACCATGCAATTTATGGCCAGCCTCTGTGGTCCGTGAGCCATTACAACGAGTTCGATCATCGATTAGTCAAGCTGGTTACCTCAGGTCGAGGGGAGAGTAAGAAGCCGACTAGCTCTTGCACTTCAGAAGCCATGGTAATAGCTTATCTGGCGGCAGCGCGAGGCAGACCGGTCAGTCAGGGATAGTGGACCTGTTTGCGAAACGACAGTGAATGGAGGTATGTGCACGGGTGCTGGCTAGTGCTGGCTTGGAATAGTATCTTCGATGGTAAAAATATTTGCTGCTTTGCTTTGGATCACAGAATACGTTTCTCGCTGTATTTAATGGAATGTAACACATCAATGTAACAGATATCCATAACGAATAGAGAAGACGGCTGAAACGCTGAAGTGGAGGGTGGCTCTTCCTGCATAACGAAATATTTTCAACCTAATATTCCTGAGACCTTAGCTTTACTGGGATATTGTTCGACTGTTTATGCTGTCAATAGTGTGGATGGACATGACCCGACTCGGATATCTTCCGAGCAACGAAGGGAACAGCACTTAGCATTTCCTACATCACTGCCTAACCATCCCTGTGTGTTATTTCTATCTGTCCGCCAAGGGTCTCCCCTCCGCCTTCCATTCACAACCATTTAACGACTGCCAGCTGGTGCTGAATCCTTCTGTTCCTCTCGAGCTGATCTTCCGAAATGCGGTGTTACGAGCCCTCACCTCGAGAACTCCGGGGCTTCCGAAGTGGGGTTCGGAAAACCGGGCGTTTGGATGACACGAACCCGAAATTTACCCTTAATTTGGAATTGGAGGAAAGCCGGGATAATTTTCTTTCAATCCTTGGTCGAAACTATTTGTCTCTGACTGGTGCATAGCTGAGGTGTTTGCTGATCTTTTCGTCAACCCCAAGAGCCCAACTTGATGCGCGTGACTGGCACATTCACGACTGGTGGACTCGCGAGAAGCCGATTCGAATCTACGTAATTCCCGTGATCCGTTCGCAAATTCCTTCGCATTGCTGGACAGGCCAAATATCGAGGCACCCCTAGTTTCTGGAATACCAAATCATTCGGCGCGTTCTTCTAATGAGGTTCACCCTGGACTCCTCAAAAAGCAAGTGACAGCTGCTGATGTGTTACGCGTCGACATTCCAACTCGTCCACGTCAGTATAGAAGGCGCATTCTCTGGAAGCACATGTGACTCTTAGGATGCCACATCAGCAGAACTACTGACGGATCGCTCGAAGTCCCATCAAGGTTTCGAATCCCGCTCTTCCCCCTTTTCCCGCTCGTCTCATCATTCATTCCCAAGGATCTTCCTACTTCCCTCGTGTTCCTTTTTGCCCCTAGTCTATTATTGTCTTGAGTTGGGGTTTATTAATTCTCTAATACAGCTTGATCGCTTGCGTGATAAGCTCTCTCCCTGCAACTATCACATCTAGGTGGCTAGCCTGAGCATTTCGCTGTTTTATGAAACGCGTCAGCCGTTCCACCTGAAGTCTTTCTTCACAGCCTTTTCCCTGACACTTTTTATTGATTGGTTGGTTGGTTGGTTGGTTGGGCTCCCAAGAACAAGAACGTTCGTCCGCTAACAGTTTGGCGCATTTCACGGTGCCGTGAAATAAGGTTGATTTTAGAAACAGCCGATACAGCAGGCGCGGGCGCCGGCACGGGAGTTCTTTCTCGGCAACAATGCCCCCGCTTCTCCATCAGGCCTCGTGCCCGGGCACCGATACAAGGATGAAACCTCGCGAATCCGTCGCAGTCACACTCGATACAATCACGATGGACGCAGAACGCTACTTGCCACTTCCAAGCGGAGAGCCGATGGCGCAAGCTGACTCCGAGTCGCGAGGAAACAGGCGGTTCGGGTCCGTCGGGTTTATAAGACACGAGGGCCTCGAAGCTCCCTTGCTGGGAAAAAGCGAGTCGGGAGAAGGCGACTCGGACACCCTCTCCGGGAGGGATATCGAACGCGCTGCGGGCGTCGTCGGCGGCGGCGCGGGCGAAGGAGAGCGCGCCAAGGGAGCGAGAGCCGCGGAGGAGTATCGGCGGATCGATCGGCGGGGGAACAGCGGGTTTATCGAGAGCGTATTTAACGGCATCAATGTCCTCGCTGGTGAGTGACTCGTTGTAAGATGATAGTGTTTTCGCTCGTTGTAGGACGAAAGAATGGGTCCGAAACATGCAGTGATAAGACGAAAGGGGGCGTCTATTATTAAGCGCCTTAGAAAAGGATTAGGGACTGGAAATGCAATACGTTGAAAGAAGCAATACTCGACCTCAATAATATTCTTCGTAAAAGCAGCTTCGCAGCCTCTCCCCTCCCCTCCCCTCCCCGCCCCTCCCCGCCCCGACCCCTCCCCCCCACTACCCGGCCGATCTGCTGCGTCGATGCACGAGCCCCCATCCGCAACCTGACCTGCTTCTCCCCCCTTCTTCCCCTTCGCCAGGCATCGGCATTCTCTCCACGCCCTACGCCACGGCGCAAGCCGGGTTGCTGGGCCTGCTAGTGCTCCTCTTCTTCGCCGGGGCGTGCTGCTACACCGCCATCCTGCTGCGCGCCACGCCCCTCCTTGCACCGCCATTCTGCTGCGCCGCTGCACGGACTTCAAACCGCCTTCTTAACCCGCTGTCTTGTCCCCTCTGCCTTCTCCCTTTCCCCTCCCCTGCAGGCATCGGCATTCTATCGACGCCATACGCCACAGCGCAAGCCGGGTGGCTCGGCCTGCTAGTTCTCCTCTTCTTCGCCGGGGCGTGCTGCTACACCGCCATCCTGCTGCGCCGATGCATGGACTTCCAGCCACATCCGCAACCGCAAGACGCGACTTCGGACTTAGTGTCCCTTGACTGCTTCGCAGACGCCCCACCGCTTCCTCCGCACTCCGCCGCCTCCGCGCGGGCGTCCGCCCGCGCGTCCCCCCGCATCGTGCGCGCGCCGCGCCCCATCCGCTCGTACCCGGACATTGGGGAGGCGGCGTTCGGGCGCGCGGGGCGGTGGCTGACGGCGTTTCTGCTCTACTTCGAATTATACGCTGTGACTGTAGAGCTGCTGATTCTAGAGGGGGACAACCTCGCGCATCTGTTCCCGTCCGGCGATATTTGTCTGCTCCCGGGGAGCCTTCTGGGGGAGGGGGGCAGTGGGGGGATGAGCGGTGGGGGGGTGAGTAACGGTGGAGTGTGGTTTCTGGAAGGAATAGCAAGAGGGGGAGAGGGAGGAGGAGTAGGAGGAGGAGGAGGGGGGCAAGGAGGAGTGTTTGGAGCAGCAGCAGCGTTGGGAGCAGCAGTTGTGAGGGGGATAGAACCAGCATTGGAAGCAGTATCACTGGCTACAGGAGCAGGGAGCTTATGCATAGAACCGAAGCAGTTCTACGTCATTCTATCCGCGTTATTAGTCCTCCCCACCGTCTGGCTAAGAGACCTCAGCCTGCTGGCGTATATCTCAGCCGGCGGTGTACTGGCGTCGCTGCTACTCGTCTTCGGCGTGGGATGGCTTAAAGAGGTTGACCATATCGGGGATATTCCAGGGGGAATCAGCAGCACTACAGAGTGGTTCAAACCCATGGGTTTACCCGCAGCGGCTGGGTTATTCGGCTTCTGCTTTTCCGGCCACGCGGTCGTTCCTAATATTTACCGATCAATGCGCAAACCGGACCATTTTACGCCGGTTATGCTTGTGAGTTTCGCGGCGTGCACTTTGCTCTATGGCGGGATGGCTCTTATGGGGTATGCCATGTTCGGCTCGGGGGTCTTGTCTCAGATCACGCTTAACTTGCCGCCGGCACTTAGCGCGTCCAAGTGGGTCGTTTGGACAACTGTGGTGAATCCTTTTACCAAGTTCGCGCTTACGCTGCTGCCGATAGCGCTGGCGCTGGAGGAAACTCTCCCCACCGCCCACCCTCACTCACTCCCTCACTCAGACTCACACTCAGACTCACACTCAGACTCACACTCGCATCCTCACTCTACCCAAGAGACAAGTGGCAGCAGCAGAAGCAAAAGCAGCAGCAGAGGGGAGAACGGCATGGGAGGGCATGGCACGGGCCACGGTGCCCCGGCTGAAGGGCATGCGATAAGTGCGGATGATCATGAGTCTATGCCCCTAGGAGGGGGAGGTGAAAGCATTGGCACGGAAGGTGAAAGCATGGGTATGGAGGTTGATTCCACGCCCTTGGGGGTGGACTCATGGCAGCACATAGCGTCGGCAACGGCCCTCCGCACGGCGCTAGTGGCCGGCGCGGTCACTGTAGCCCTCTCCGTCCCGTTCTTCGGCTTAGTCATGGCCTTCATCGGAAGCTTCCTCTCGCTTTCCATCTCGGTGATGCTCCCCTGCGCGTGCTATTTGCAGCTTATGGGCGGGCCGTGGAGGCAAGGGGGGAGGCTGGGGTGGGGGGAGGCGGTGGGGGTGGTGGGGTTGTTTTTGGTCGGCTTGCTGGCTGCTGCTTCAGGGACGTTTTATGCCATTAGGGGGATCACAGACGAGTGGTGATGGGGGGGCGTTGATGGGGTAGGGGTAGTGGATAAGGAGAGGGGTGTTGCAGAGGCTTATGGGTGGGCAGAGGAGGGCAGGGGGGAGACTGGAGAGCAGGGGGAGTGGTGGGTGAACGAGGGGTTGGTTCTGATCGGTTTATTAGCTGCTTCTGAGCAATGCATGGTGTTATTGGTACGGGGCTTTTTGACAAGGGGGGGGGGGGGTTGCTTTTGGGAGGGATGAGAGGCAAAAGCTTGGGTGGGAGGGAGGTGGTGGTTGTGATGATGCTGCTGTTAACGGTGCGCTCCTGTTAATGGTTTGCGTATGGCTGCTGCTTCGAGGTGCTTTGTAGTGATGGTAGAAGGGAGGAGGGGGGGGAAGAGGAGAGACGAGGGAGAGAAGGGAGAAGGTTTGCCCGCCCGGTGGTGGCCCTGCCCAACTACCTTATGAATGTGGCTGCAAGTGGCTGCAATTTTGCCTGGCGGTTTATTGCCTCTTGCAGCTGCTGCTTGCCCTACAAGCTTTCGCAAGAAAAATGCTCTATGTATTGCTCAAGTTATAGCCCTTGCTCTGTTTTCAGCTCCCTCCAAGGCTTTGAGAGGGCTGGTGATTTGCATTAGTAGCACTACCTTTCTGAAGTACTAGTGTTGCTCATTTGTTCGTTCTTTTCAACAGGCCAGTGGTTGCATGTCTGCTGGCCAGTGCCAGCGGTAGGGATTGTCCCTGATCTAGAGCTGCAGGAGGCAAATCCTGGTCTTAGCAAACCCTTTCACATCTTTATGAACCTCCAGCCTCTCCTCTGCTGTTGCAGACTTGCACCGCCTTTGCAGCACTACCACCCTGCACTCCAATGGTGGGTTTGGTTGAGCGTTCAGGGGTCACTTTTCAGCCCACTAACTCCTTAGCAGGTTCAACCATCTCCTTCACATCCACATCAACCACCTAACGAGACCTCCGTCTCCCTCACACCAACTCAGCAGCAGCACCGCCCTGCCAATTGAAGTAACTAACTACCTTTCAACACTGCCCTCCCTGTTACCGCCACCAGCGCCAAACCATGCCCCCAAATGGCGGGATCGAGTGCTCGCACCAATGTACCAACCAACTCCTTATCATTGGCCCAGCCACACTCTAAGCCGGTTGATTTTGATTGCTCAGTGGCGCCCACACAACGAATACACCAACTCCTCCCCCTTGGCATGGTGCTCAACCACAAACTACAAGCGGGTTGGTTGCTCAGCACTCGGTTTAGTGCACCAACTCCTCTGCATAGCGCCCAGCCATCTCCTTCACATCCCCATCAACCCTCATCCCTTCCTCCTCCTCCGCCTCTCGCACCAACTCAGCAGCAGCACCGCCCTGCCCTCCCGCCACCAGCGCCCGGACCATGCCACGGACTATGGGTGGGTTGAGCGTCCAACCCAGCACCTGCATGGTCTTCCGAACCTGCATGCAATTTGAATAGAGGAGTGGCATAATGGGGGAGTGAGCTTATGTCATGGTGGATGGAGGGGATCATGCCCCTGACCATGCCCCTGACCATGCCACGGACTATGGGCGGGTGGAGCTTCCACCCCAGCACTTGCATTGTCTTCCGGACCTGCAGACAAGTTGGATAGAGGGGTAGGGGGACAGGGGAGTCTGCGACAGGTGATCAGGTACTAGAGTACCCTGGCAGCATATATTAAACACCCCATTCCCAACCCAAGGCAGTGGAATGTAAACCCCACCTGAGAGCAGCTATCCATATCCCCTGCGAGCGCGTATGCCTGAAAAAGGCGCGTGTATGTCCTGGCATTGGGCTGCAGCCCCACCCGCTGCATCTCCTCGAACACCTCCGCTGCTTCTCGGACTGTGGGGGGGAAGGGGGAGAGCAGCAGTTACGGTATGAATAGATGGCAGAATGCGGGGGCGTGTATGTCCTGGCATTGGGCTGCAGCCCCACCCGCTGCATCTCCTCGAACACCTCTGCTGCTTCTCGCACTGCACACCAAGGTGGGATGGCGAAGAGAGCAGTCAAGAGAAGAGAATGAGAGAGTGTACGTCCTGGCGTTGGGCTGCAGCCCCACCCGCTGCATCTCCTCGAACACCTCTGCTGCTTCTCGCACTGCACACCAAGGTGGGATGGCGAAGAGAGCAGTCAAGAGAAGAGAATGAGAGAGTGTACGTCCTGGCGTTGGGCTGCAGCCCCACCCGCTGCATCTCCTCGAACACCTCTGCTGCTTCTCGCACTGCACACCAAGGTGGGATGGCGAAGAGAGCAGTCAAGAGAAGAGAATGAGAGAGTGTACGTCCTGGCGTTGGGCTGCAGCCCCACCCGCTGCATCTCCTCAAACACCTCCACTGCCTCTCGGAATGCAAGGGGGGGAAGGATTGGTGGAATGGGAAAGGGGAGGGAGGAATGGGAAAGTGTGGACAAGGAAACTGCACAACAGCCCCACTCGCAGCATCTCCTCAAATACCTCTGCTGCCTCTCGCACTGCACAGGGAGAGAGGGGTGGAGAGGTGACTTTTGAGTCGACTCAAAAGTCTCTCGCACTGCACAGCCACAGGGAGGGGTGGAGAGGTGAAAAAGGAGACGTCAGCACTGAGCCACGGCTGCAGCCCCACCCGCTGCATCTCCTCAAACACCTCCGCTGCTTCTCGGACTGTGGGGGGAGAGGGGCGATTGCGAAGAGGGAGATGAGGGCTGTGTAGGTCTCGACTCCAGGCATTATGACTAGCTCCCCGCCCCTTCCAGCTCCAGCACCAGCTTCACGGCTTGTGCGTGTGTGGCGACTACTAGCTTGCAGGCCGTAACTGAAGGACAGATGCGACGAGAGTGGGACCGACTTACCGACGTCGAGACCATGGCTGACGAAGACGGAGATGAGATGAGAGCAGTGCCTTTCTCATGAGATGAGTCGAAAGGCATGAGAGGAGATGAGAGCAGTGCCTTTCTCATGAGATGAGTCGAAAGGCATGAGAGGAGATGAGAGCAGTGCCTTTCTCATGAGATGAGTCGAAAGGCATGAGAGGAGATGAGAGAAGTGCCTTTCTCATGAGATGAGTCGAAAGGCATGAGAGGAGATGAGAGCAGTGCCTTTCTCATGAGATGAGAGCAGTGCCAAAGGCATGAGAGGAGATGAGATAAGAGCAGCAGCGTAGGTCTCCACACCGGGCCTGATGCCATAGGGATAGGGCTTTTGAGAATTCTTAAAAAATCTCTCGGGCAAAGGCGGAGGGGAGACTTACCGAGACCATGGCTGGCGAAGAGGGAGATGAGAGAAGTGTATGTTTCGACTCCTGGCCTAATGCCCGCCCCTTCCAGCTCGAGAACCAGCTTCACGGCTTGTCGGCACCTCAGCTTCTCCTCCTCACTCGCCTCCCTCCCCTTCACTCTCCCTTCCTCACTGGTCGCACTACCTGTTAACTGCTCCTCCTCACTACCCTCCCCCCGTCCCCCCTCCCTCTCACTCTCCTTTCCTCCCCCCTCCTCATCCTCCCTTCCTCCCTCCCCTCCCTCCCCTCCTTCGCCAAGCAGCAACGCTAGCTGCCTATCCATGCTGCCATGCGCTTCCACCAGTCGGGCCACGGACCGGTCGTCGGGCTTCAGCCCGGCAGCCACCATGCGTTTGAAAGCTGCCACGGCCTCGTCGGTGCGTCCGTTGAGCCCGAAGGCTGCTGACAGCGCGGTGAACGTATTGCAATCAGGGGTCAAATCTGTCTGTGACTGAGCCAGGGAAAAGAATGGGGGGTGGGTGAGGACGGGAGGGGAGGACAGGAGGGGAGGACGGAAAAGGGAAGGGAGAGTAAGGGAGAGAGAGGGGAGCAATGGGCCTCTACCCGTCGGGCCATGGACCGGTCGTCGGGCTTCAGCCCGGTGGCGAGCATGCGCTTGAAAGCTGCCACAGCCTCGTCCGTGCGTCCATTGAGCCCAAAGGCTGCAGAGAGGGCCGTGAACGTATTGCAGTCTGGCGTAAGGTCGATCTGCGTAAGGTCCATCTGCGACTGGGGGATGGCAGGAAGGCAGGAAGGTAGGACGGGAAGGAAGGAAGGAGTATCACGTGTTGTTTATCCATACTGTGATCGGGGAAGAGGGAGAGAGGGGGGGGGGGGGGGGGGGGTTGTATTTTTGAGGCGCCTAAAAAATAGACTCCTTTTTTGGAGGCGCCTAAAAAATAGACTCCCTTTTTGGAGGCGCCTCAAAAATAGACCCCTTTTTTGGAGGCGCCTAAAAAATAGACTCCTCACGCAAGGAAGGAGTATCACGTGTTGTCTATCCATACTGTAATGGGGGAAGAGGGAGAGGGGGGGGCGGGGGGGGGGTGGGGGAATAGAGAGCAGTCATGTGTTGGGATGCTGCCATGGCATCGTCGGTGCGTTCATCGAGCCCAAACGCTGCTGACAGCGCTGTGAATGTGTTGCAGACAGTCAGGGGTGAGGTCCGTCTGGGAATGTAATGGGGGAAGGACGGGGAGGCAGGCGGGAAGGGAGGAAGGAAGGGAGAATGGCGAGTGACGAGGGACGGCTAGCAGGCAGGCAGCAGCGAGCATGGCGTCCAACAGCTGTCTGGCTGCCCTGCCTTCATGGCTGCCCTACCTTCATGGCTGCCCTGCCTATCGAGCACAGAGTGACCAAGGAGGGCTTGCAGGGCAGCAGCGAGCATGGCGTCCAGAAGCTGCTCGGCCTTGTCCGGCTGCCGAGCGTTGCCATACACATTAACAGACGCCCCTTTACATATAGAAGCGCCGCAGACTCACCAGCACTGTGTCAAACACCCTCTGAGCGTCGTCCGGCCGGCCAGCGAGCCCATATGCTCTGATTATCGAGCACACAGTGACCAAGGAGGGCTTGCAGGCAGCAGCGAGCATGGCGACCAGCAGCTGCTCTGTCAACAAACAAGCAAACATCCACCTGCGCTCGCACTCACCAGCACTTTATCAAAGACCCTCTGGGCGTCATTTGGCCGGCCAGCAAGCCCATATGCGGTGATGATTGAACAAAGGGTCACCAATGACAGCTTGCAGGCAGCAGCAAGCATGGCGTCCAGCAGCTGCTCTGTCAACAAAGAAGCACACACGCACATGCGCTCGCACTCACCAGCACTTTATCAGACACCCTCTGGGCGTCGTCCGGCCGACCAGCAAGCCCATAGGCAGTGATGATTGAACAGAGGGTCACCAGCGACGGCTTGCAGGCAGCAGCGAGCATGGCGTCCAGCAGCTGCTCGGCTTTATCTGGTTGGCCTGCCTTGCCATAGACTGTCATCATGGTGGTGTACGCCTTGGCGTCGGGGGTAATGCCGCGTAGTCTCATTTCCTCCCATGCTGCCTCCGCCTTCTCTACCTGGTGCACATGAGAGAAAAGAGAACGGGTGGGCTGACAGGTGGATGGATCCCAGTGCACAGTGGCAATCACAACGCCTTGCCATAGACTGTCCTCATGGTGGTGTGCGCCTTGACGTCGGGGGTAATGCCGCGTAGTCTCATTTCTTCCCACGCTGCCTCCGCCTTCTCCACCTGGAACATACACCATGTAGGGGCGGCTTGACAGTTAGTTGTTTAGGTTTGACAGTAGTGCATGGTACTCAACCCTAAACCCTGAGCTATACGCTGTCATCATGGTGGTGCGAGCCTTGGTGTCGGGCTGTATTCCTCACAACCTCATTTCATCCCATGCACCAGCTAGCCATACACTGCCATGTCATCATTGGTCGTGATAACGAAACTAATAACAAACCCACCTGTTTGGCCCGGCCGTAAGCGCTGATCTTCACTGAGAAAAAGATCAGATCCGGAGCTATCCCACCTGCTGCCATCTCTCTCAACACCTTCTAAGTGCACAGCACCCACCTCTTCGGCCCGCTGGTTTTTTAAAACTAACAAACACCTCTCAACACCTTCTAAATGCACAGCACCCACCTCTTTGGCCCGGCCATATGCATTGATCTTCACTGAGAAAGATATCAAATCCGGAGCTATCCCATCCGCTTCCATCCCTGCAAAAGCTCGCTCCATCTCCCCCAGCCGCCCGTCCTTGCCGAACCTCTCCACCAGCTTCGTGTAGTCCCGAGCGTCAGCCTCGTACCAATCCTCTGATAGGGACCACTGCATGACCTGAGATGAAGGAAATGGCAACAGGGGAAGAGGGAAAGAAGGGGGAACGAAAGGGAAAAGAAAGAAGGAAATAAGGGGGAAAGAAGGGGGAAAGAAGGGAGAACGAGGGTTTAGGAGGGTATATGGAGCAAAGGAAAGGGAAGGTGGTGGGGGAATGGGTAAGTGCACGGCACTCTAACAAGAAACGTTGTAGAAATGCATTAAATAATATGTCAACTGCAAAGCACCACCACTCCCTCCCTCGTTACTATCACAAACATCTAGCAGCTCTCTGGTAGCTGCAGTGTTCATCCGTTTAATTAATTCCATCCACCACTGGGACTATCCTTGCTGTATCCTTCATCCTTGCTTCTATTCTTGCTATTATCCTTCTGTTATCCTCGTTATAATCCCACCACCCACCTGGCACAGCAGCTCTGTGGTATCAGCAGTGTCCATCTCTTTAATCGTGCCAATCACTGCTTTTTAACCTTGTTGTTATCCTCGTTATAATCCCACCCACCCACCTGGGACAGCAGCTCTCTGGTATCAGCAGTGTCCATCTCTTTTCTCGTGTCAATCACTGCTTTTTAACCTTGCTGTTATCCTCGTTATAATCCCACCCACCCACCTGGCACAGCAGCTCTCTGGTATCAGCAGTGTCCATCTCTTTTATCGTGTCAATCACTGCCTTTTAACCTTGCTGTTATCCTCGTTATAATCCCACCCACCCACCTGGCACAGCAGCTCTCTGGTATCAGCAGTGTCCATCTCTTTTATCGTGCCAATCACTGCTTTTTAACCTTGCTGCTATCCTCGTTATAATCCCACCCACCCACCTGGCACAGCAGCTCTCTGGTATCAGCAGTGTCCATCTCTTTTGTCGTGTCAATCACTGCTTTTTAACCTTGTTGTTATCCTCGTTATAATCCCACCCACCCACCTGGGACAGCAGCTCTCTGGTATCAGCAGTGTCCATCTCTTTTATCGTGTCAATCACTGCTTTTTAACCTTGCTGTTATCCTCGTTATAATCCCACCCACCCACCTGGCACAGCAGCTCTCTGGCATCAGCAGTGTCCATCTCTTTTCTCGTGTCAATCACTGCTTTTTAACCTTGCTGCTATCCTCGTTATAATACCACCCACCCACCTGGCACAGCAGCTCTCTGGTATCAGCAGTGTCCATCTCTTTTATCGTGTCGATCAGATCCCGACGGTGTGGCCGCACTCCCTTCACCCAGCTTTAAGAGCACCAGAAAATTGGGGGGTGACAAGGAGAGGAGTGGAGGAAGCGTGGGAAGGGTGGGGGGGGGGGGGGGGGCGGGGGAGGGTGGGGTGAGGTGCGAGGGGGTTGGGGGAGGTTGAGCGGGGTTGTCTGTCAATGCGGAGTCTGGAACGTGTGAGCAGCTGTTTGGAAAATTCAGGGGATTTGCCTTGGCTCAGAAGTTAGCTGATGCTGCCTCAGAAAGAAAAGGGGATAATGATGAAGCTCATATCTGATATGCTCACATGTAACATAGTGACAGGTAACATTTGCATATAGACGCAACAACATTTGAAATTGTAACCCGCGAGACGTGGAGTTCAGACCAATCGCGTACTTCTCGAGCCGTTGATGAAGCTCATCCTCGTTAGTAGGCGGCTTCGTTTTCAGCTCCTTTATAAGCACCAGCGCCTTGCGTGTAACGCGTCCAGAGACTAGAGGACGGGCCTCCGGCCATTTCCGACGACGATGCGCCGTGCCGGCCGCTAGCACTACTACTGGGGAACATTTATTCGACAACTGGGAACCATCTGGCCGTCGATTTTGGCGTATTCCTGCTGGATTTAGTCTTGAATCGGTAACGAGACCATCTCTAACGAAGCATGAATTGAGAGACGCTAAGGAGCTCCGAGTGAGAGTGGCGGCCAGCGCTGGCATTGCGAGGAGTGGTGTTTGAACCACTAAGAAGAAACGACGACGGCGAAGGTGATCAGTAACACGATCCACGGGCGAGAGGCGGTGACCGATTCACTAGCGAAGGGAGGCGACGCCCGGAAACACGATTCACAGGCAAAATGCGGTCAGCGTAAAGAGGATTCACAGGGTTCTGTGTACGAAGGACAGCGACTACAGTTGTAGCTTTTGAGACGTGTCCACAACGAGTCACGGGGATCTGTGAAGGGAGGACAGCGGCTGCACGCGGTAGCAGCGGTGAGGATAGAAGCACGGCGGAGAGATTGCACGGGGAATGGCGAAAGAACCGACCAAATCGAAGGCGGGATGTTCGCAACGACAGGCCCCGAACCCAACTCCCGTGTAAATTCTGCGCAGGAACCCAACTCGAGATGGAACGAAAGTGAAGAGAGAAATCCGAGAAGGGGACTGGGGAAGGAAAGTACAGCTGATAAAAGCTGAGGGTGTGGTGTTTCCTGAGGAGAACCGTATCAGATCCCGTAACAAGGTTCGACGTTGAGCGCCGAAAGGGTTGCGCAGCCTCCTTATGAAGATGCATTCCGTTTACAAACAAACGAAAAAGAGATCTTAAAAGTTTGAATACACTCGCAAGGAACAAACTTTTGTAATACGGTATTGATAAGCATGCCAATACGCGAATGTGTCAATTACTGGGTAATATTTTTTAAAAAAATATGAATGGTTCGATATGGCACGCACTTAGCAATATTGCATGAAGTTTTGTTTGGAAAAAACATCAATATGAATGGATGACACACATGTTAGTGTCAAAAATATGTGGTATAGATGTGACAATTGCATGAAATACAATCCTTTCCTTCAATCATTTAACTTCCATTCATAATAGTGTATACTTTGAGTGTGCATATCACTTATGCAGTATGGCCCGGTCAGCGCTTAGGGCGCGTCACATTTCTGTGACCGTCAAGTGAGCACCAGTTTTCGGCGAAAGTAACAAAATTTACGACACTCGTCAAATTGGCGCGACAGCCCCGAGATCCCCACTCCGAAAAATGTGACACGCGCAACAGCCCAATTCTCCCCATGTTCATTTCGGTGTTCGTTTCATGCTCGCCCTTTGCGAATCTCTGCAAAAAAAATGAATCAGAGTTCATGAGCATTTGACGCGCCCTTAGGGCGTCTGGTTGGTTACAATGAGAGGGTTTTTTTTCCACCCGTTGTTGCAGCCTAATCATTGCGAGCAGAGGTGCAGTTAGTTTCGTATGAGGTGTCGTTTCACGTGATTGTGTCACGTGCCTCAGCCCAGTCTGCCTTGGGAAACAGCAGAAACCAGCAGAAACTTGGTGGGAAACCGGCAATTTCGTCTCTCCTAAATGCTGGAACAGATCAAGAAACGCGCGGTTCGGATGCAGGTTGCGCGGTTCTTGATTCCTCTAAAATTCCTACGCCCAATTCTTGAAGCCATTTCACCTCGACATTTGCACTCTCCGAAGGACGATCAACTTCTCCCACAGCTTTCAATCTGGCTTCGGTCTACCTTGGTAAGCCCGTTCAAACCTTTTTTTTCTTTTCTTTTCTTTTGTAGTTAGCTATGCTGGAGAGGCGGACGCGCATGGCGCACGCCACGGCATCCCCGTGGCGGCGCCACGGGCCGTGGCGCTCGTCCCGCTCATCCCACTTGCTGCGACGCTCGCGCCGCTCTCGTGGCAACGAGCGCGACGCTCGCCACGAACCGTGGTGGCGGTCGCTGCAGTCGCCGCTCACGCATGCAAGCGTATCATGACGGCAGTCGCCACTCACGTACGCAGTCGCCGCGCATCGGCAGGCGTGCTGGCGTGGCGCACGCAGCCTTCGCCGCTTTTCCTCCATACCTAAACCTCCATACCTCTACTCCTCCATTTGTCCATACCTCCACACGCCCATTCGTCCATACCTCCACTCCTCCATTCGTCCACACCTCCATACCTCCACACCTCCATGCCCCTATACCCCCACACACCCCCACATCCCCACACCCGCCCATTCGTCCACAAATCCACACCCTCATGCCCCCACACCCCCACACCCCCACACCTCCACACCCCCACACCCCCACACCCCCACACCCGCCCATTCGTCCCCAAATCCATACCCCCATGCCCCCACACCCCCACACCCCCACACCTCCACACCCCCACACCCCCACACCCCCACACCCCCATACCTCCACACGTCCACACCTCCACACCTCCATGCCTCCATACCTCCACACACCTCCACACCTCCATACCTCCACACCTCCACACCCCCATACCTCCACACGTCCATACCTCCACACCTCCATGCCTCCATACCTCCACACACCTCCACACCTCCATACCTCCATACCTCCATATCTCCACACCTCCATGCCTCCATACCTCCACACACCTCCACACCACCATACATCCATACCTCCATACCTCCATACCTCCACACCTCCACACCCCCATACTTCCACACGTCTATACCTCCACACCTCCATACCTCCATACCTCCACACATCTCCATACCTCCACACATCTCCACACCTCCACACGTCTATACCTCCACACCTTCATACCTCCATACCTCCACACCTCCACATCTTCACACCCCTTTTATTCCAAACGTGCATACCTCCACACCTCCATACCTCCATACCTCCACACACCTCCACACCTCCATACCTCCACACCTCCACACCCCCATACCTCCACACGTCCATACCTCCACACCTCCATGCCTCCATACCTCCACACACCTCCACACCTCCATACCTCCATACCTCCACATCTCCACACCTCCATACCTCCATACCTCCACACACCTCCACACCACCATACATCCATACGTCCATACCTCCATACCTCCACACCTCCACACCCCCATACCTCCACACGTCTATACCTCCACACCTGCATACCTCCATACCTCCACACATCTCCATACCTCCACACCTCCACATCTTCACACCCCCTTTATTCCAAACGTGCATACCTCCGCACCTCCATACCTCCATACCTCCACACACCTCCACACCTCCATACCTCCGCACCACCACACCTCCACACTCCCATACCTCCACACGTCCATACCTCCACACCTCCATGCTTCTTTACCTCCACACACCTCCATACCTTCATACCTCCATACCTCCACACCTCCACATCTTCACACCCCCCTTATTCCACACGTCCATACCTCCACACCTCCATACCTCCATACCTCCATACCTCCACACACCTCCACACCTCCATACCTCCACACCTCCACACCTCCATACCTCCACACCTCCACACCTCCACACCCCCATACCTCCACACGTCCATACCTCCACACCTCCATGCCTCCATACCTCCACACACATCCACACCTCCATACCTCAATACCTCCACATCTCCACACCTCCATGCCTCCATACCTCCACACACCTCCACACCTCCATACCTCGATACCTCCATACCTCCACACCTCCACATCCCCCATTATTCCACACGTTTATACCTCCACACCTCCATACCTCCATACCTCCACACACCTCCACACCTCCATACCTCCACACCTCCACACCTCCATACCTCCACACCTCCACACCTCCACACCCCCATACCTCCACACGTCCATACCTCCACACCTCCATGCCTCCATACCTCCACACACATCCACACCTCCATACCTCCATACCTCCACATCTCCACACCTCCATGCCTCCATACCTCCACACACCTCCACACCTCCATACCTCGATACCTCCATACCTCCATACCTCCACACCTCCACATCTTCACACCCCCATTATTCCACACGTCCATACCTCCACACCTCCATGCCTCCATACCTTCACACACCTCCACACCTCCATACCTCCATACCTCCACATCTCCACACCTCCATGCCTCCATACCTCCACACACTTCCACACCACCATACATCCATACCTCCATACCTCCATATCTTCACACCTCCACATCTTCACACCCTCATTATTGCACCCATCCATACTTCCACACCTCCATATCTCCATACCTCCAATCACCTCCAAACCTCCATACCTCCACACCTCCATACCTCCACACCCCCATACCTCTACACGTCCATACCTCCATACCTCCATGCCTCCATACCTCCACACACCTTTACACCTCCATGCCTCTATACCTCCACACTTCACACCCCCATTATTCCACACGTGCATACCTCCACACCTCCATACCTCCATACACCTCCACACCTCCATACCTCCACACCACCACACCTCCACACTCCCATACCTCCACACGTGCATACCTCCACACCTACATGCCTCCATACCTCCACACACCTCCACACCTCCATACCTCCAAACCTCCATACCTCCACACCTCCACATCTTCAAACCCCCCTTATTCCACACGTCCATACCTCCACACCTCCATACCTCTATACCTCCACACACCTCCACACCTCCATACCTCCACACCTCCACACCCCCATACCTCCACACGTCCATACCTCCACACCTCCATGCCTCCATACCTCCACACACCTCCACACCTCCATACCTCCATACCTCCACATCTCCACACCTCCATGCCTCCATACCTCCACACACCTCCACACCACCATACATCCATACCTCCATACCTCCATACCTCCACACCTCCACACCCCCATACCTCCACACGTCTATACCTCCACACCTGCATACCTCCATACCTCCACACATCTCCATACCTCCACACATCTCCACACCTCCACACGTCTATACCTCCACACCTTCATACCTCCATACCTCCACACCTCCACATCTTCACACCCCCTTTATTCCAAACGTGCATACCTCCACACCTCCATACCTCCATACCTCCACACACCTCCACACCTCCATACCTCCGCACCACCACACCTCCACACTCCCATACCTCCACACGTCCATACCTCCACACCTCCATGCTTCCATACCTCCACACACCTCCATACCTTCATACCTCCATACCTCCACACCTCCACATCTTCACACCCCCCTTATTCCACACGTCCATACCTCCACACCTCCATACCTCCATACCTCCACACACCTCCACACCACCATACCTCCATACCTCCACATCTCCACACCTACATGCCTCCATACCTCCACACACCTCCACACCACCATACCTCCATACCTCCATACCTCCATATCTCCACACCTCCACATATTCACACCCCCATTATTCCACACGTCCATACCTCCACACCTCCATACCTCCATACCTCCACACACCTCCACACCTCCATACCTCCACACCTCCACACCTCCATACCTCCACACCTCCACACCTCCACACCTCCACACCCCCATACCTCCACACGTCCATACCTCCACACCTCCATGCCTCCATACCTCCACATACCTCCACACCCACACACCTCCACACCTCCACACCTCCACACCCCTATACCTCCACACGTCCATACCTCCACACCTCCATGCCTCCATACCTTCACACACCTCCACTCCTCCATACCTCCATACCTCCACATCTCCACACCTCCATGCCTCCATACCTCCACACACTTCCACACCACCATACATCCATACCTCCATACCTCCATATCTTCACACCTCCACATCTTCACACCCTCATTATTGCACACGTCCATACTTCCACACCTCAATATCTCCATACCTCCAATCACATCCAAACCTCCATACCTCCACACCTCCATACCTCCACACCCCCATACCTCTACACGTCCATACCTCCATACCTCCACACTTCACACCCCCATTATTCCACACGTGCATACCTCCACACCTCCATACCTCCATACACCTCCACACCTCCATACCTCCATACACCTCCATACCTCCATACCTCCACACCACCACACCTCCACACTCCCATACCTCCACACGTGCATACCTCCACACCTCCATGCCTCCATACCTCCACACACCTCCACACCTCCATACCTCCAAACCTCCATACCTCCACACCTCCACATCTTCAAACCCCCCTTATTCCACACGTCCATACCTCCACATCTCCATACCTCCATACCTCCACACACCTCCACACCTCCATACCTCCACACCTCCACACCCCCATACATCCACACCTCCATACCTCCACACCTCCATGCCTCCATACCTCCACACACCTCAACACCTCCATACCTCCATACCTCCACATCTCCACACCTCCATGCCTCCATACCTCCACACACCTCCGCACCTCCATACCTCCACACCACCACACCTCCACACTCCCATACCTCCACACGTCCATACCTCCACACCTCCATTCCTCCATACCTCCACACACCTCCACACCATCATACCTCCATAACTCCACACCTCCATATCTTCACACCCCCCTTATTCCACACGTGCATACCTCCACACCTCCATGCCTCCATACCTCCACACACCTCCACACCTCCATACCTCCACACCTCCACACCTCCACACCCCCGTACCTCCACACGTCCATACCTCCACACCTCCATGCGTCCATACCTCCACACACCTCCACACCTCCATACCTCGACGTCTCCACACCTCCACATCCCCATACCTCCACACGTCCATACCTCCACACTTCCATACCTCCATACCTCCACACACCTCCATACCTCCGTACCTCCACACCTCCACACCTTCATACCTCCACACACCTCCATACCTCCATACCTCCATCTCGCCATACCTCCACACACCTCCACACCTCCACACCTCCATACCTCCACACCTCCGTACCTCCACACCTCCACACCTGCATACCTCCACACACCTCCATACCTCCATACCTCCACACCTCCACACTCCCACACGTGCACACGTCCATACGTTCACACCTCCACACCCCCATACCTCCACACGTCCATACCTCCACACCTTCACCCCTCCATGCCTCCACACCTCCATACCTACACATCTCCAAACCTCCATACCTCCACACCTCCACACCTCCACACCTCCATACCTCCACACACCTCCATACCTCCATATCTCCACACATCCACACCTCCACACCCCCATTCCATACCTCCACACCTCCACCCCTCCATACCTCCATACCTCCATACCTACACACCTCCAAACCTCCATACCTCCATACCTCCACACACCTCTTTACCTCCATACCTCCACACCTGTTGAGGTAACGAGGGAATATCAAAGGGAAATCGCCCCTGTTCTCAAGTGAAGTTTGATAACTAGGAGATTCCCAGTATTCAGCACCCTTGCCTCTTGTTATATATACGTGTTTCCCATTATTGAGTATGTAGCTTCTATTCCTTTCTTTGCTTTCGCGTTTTTTTTTGTGTGCCCTGAATGGATATCTCAATGCTGGTGTGTTTGGTCCTCGTTTTTTGCGATCAGCATCTGTCACGGATCCACTGCATTCGTCATTATTGTAGCTTTGTATGGTGTCATGCGTCTTACTTCCCTATGTTACCCTTCTTACAGTTGCCATTTTCAAGCTGTCACACTTCAAGCTCCCATTTACTACACCCATCGGCACTAGGAGTGAGCGAAGAGGCAACGCGATCTCTCCACGACGTATGTTTATATGATAACTCTAGGAAGCAGTATTGAATGCAGTTTTTCAATGAGTGTTCTGTGTAAGCAAGTATACTTGAGCAATAATTTGTTACAATATTTAAATCTTTTGTACTATTTACCTGCAATGTTGTCCTGAGTGTCATTCCTCAATGTGCAATCATCCCCCAAGCATCAGCCATACCATTTTCTTTTGCTGAATCCGTCGCAGAAGCATTCGTGTACCATTTCATCGCGTTGACTGCATCATCATATGCTTGCATGCCGTACGCGCTCGTTTTGTACTCAAGCGTATCGTTATGCTGTACCCAACTCGTGATGGAACGAAAGTGAAGAGAGAAATCCGAGAAGGGGACTGGGGAAGGAAAGTACAGCTGATAAAAGCTGAGGGTGTGGTGTTTCCTGAGGAGAACCGTATCAGATCCCGTAAAAACTCATTGAACCGAACAAAACGCATGGGAGTAAGGTTGCGCTGGTGTGAGCTTCGAGATCATCGGGATTGCGAGAATCAGCAACTCGAATTTCCCTCGCTTCGCACCCAATCGAAACTCACGTGCGAAGATCCATACGTAACACGCTACAAAACCAACAACAGAAATAAGTACCAGAAACCGTATAAAAGTCAAAGAGATTTCGAAATGACCATCTGCGTGATTTTACTACAACGTTCTTCTGAGCATGCAATGTTTTCGCCAAGTGTGAAATCTGCTAACGAAAAACCGTATAGGTCACAACACACCAAAGAACAAAATGGTGTGAAATCAAATTCTGAGTACCAGATGTTGAGCGCATTATGACTACTGCACTACACCCAACCCAACACCTACGGCTACTGTACCACAACGCCACGAACACATGCTACTCCACTCGAACAGGCCGGTTTCTCTTTGGTGCTTCTGCAGCCTTGCTGCTGCTGCCGCCGCTTCCATCTTCACTTTCTGCTACACCAGACTCCTCCCCTCCAGCACCAGCAGCAGCAGCATTCTTCCTCTCACTCCCCACACCACCATCTCCATCACCATCACCATCGACTGATGTCTTGAGCACCTGTTCGGCCTGAACCTGCCGCCTCCCCTCCTTGCCCTCCTGCTTCTCCAGCTGCTGCAACACCACTGCTACCTCCTCCTCCAGTCGTCCCTCCGCCTCCAAGCGAGCCACCTGCGTTACAATCACATTTCATTAAAGAGAGGAAGAGTTCATTTTTAGGTATGTTACTTGAGCGCCTGTTCGGTTCGGCCTGCATCTGCCGCCTCCCCTCCCTGCCCTCCTGCAGCTGCAGCATCACTGCTACCTCCTCTTCCAGTCGTCCCTCTGCCAACACACGAGCAACCTGCGTTGTACTCACAATTCAATAGAGCGTGAAATCGTCTTCTTAAAAAGTGTTACTCTAGAGCCTATGTATGAGCACGTACTTAAGCATGATTTCATTTTTTTTGTAAAAGGACCTCGAGGTACTATAATGAACTCACCTTTGGTTCCTCCCCAACAACCAATAAGCAGAGTGTTTCCGTTGCCTACCATAATGCAAACATATGATGCAAATACCCTCGTACGTACCTCCCTCTTGGCGTCCTCCCTAGAGCTTTGAGTCAGCAGCAGCAGCCCCAATCCCACTCCCACTCGCACTCCCACTTACCATGTGCACACAACAAAAAATCATGTGCACCTTGCAGCCCTCTCACTCACCTCCCTCTTGGCGTCCTCCCAGATCTTGAGTCGCAGCAGCCTATAACGTGCATACCATAATGCATAACGCATCGTCCCTAGACCCTCTCACCTCCCTCTTGGCGTCCTCCCATATCTTCAGTCGCAGCAGCAGCCCCACCACCACTCCCACGCCGCCTGTGGCTAGAGCTGAGGGAACAGGAGAGAGAGAGAGAGAGAGAGAGGAGAGAGAGAGAGAGAGAGAGAGAGAGAGAGAGAGAGAGAGAGAGAGAGAGATAGAGAGAGAGAGAGAGAGAGAGAGAGAGAGAGAGAGAGAGAGAGAGAGAGAGAGGAGAAACAAAAAGATGGCAATGATTGCACTCTTCACTGTCCCACTCCCACGCCGCCTGTGGTTATGGGTGAGGGAACACGAGGGAGGGGAGACGACCACAAAAAGGATTTTGAGGCGCCTCTAAAGACGCCGCCTGTGGTTATAGCTGAGGGAACACGAGGGAGAGGAGAAGACCACAAAAAGGATTTTGAGGCGCCTCAAAAGACGCCGCCTGTGGTTATGGTTGAGGGAACACGAGGGAGAGGAGAAGACCACAGAAAGGATTTTTGAGGGGCCTCAAAAGGTGCCGCCTGTGGTTATAGCTGAGGGAACACGGAGGGAGAGAAGAAGACCACAAAAAGGATTTTGAGGCGCCTCAAAAGACGCCGCCTGTGGTTATGGTTGAGGGAACACGAGGGAGAGGAGAGACCACAGAAAGGATTTTGAGGGGGCCTCAAAAGGTGCCGCCTGTGGTTATAGCTGAGGGAACACGAGGGAGAGAAGAAGACCACAAAAAGGATTTTGAGGCGCCTCAAAAGACGCCCGCCTGTGGTTATGGTTGAGGGAACACGAGGGAGAGGAGAAGAGCACAAAAAGAAGGTAACGAAAGAAGGGGAGTGGGATTTGGCAGATGGGAACAAGTGAGAGAATAACGGAGCATGGTGAAGGGGGAGAAGTGAAAGAGGAAGATGGCAAGGGAAAGAGGATATGAAAGGTGGGAAAATATTACCTCTTATTTGACCCGACACACTACACTACAATACTTCCTCGGGAATAACTTTTGCGTCTACTCCCGTGCCTCACGACTCCTCCCCCACAACTCCACTCCCAAGGCTCCCACGGCCCTAAGCTGCAACTTACCCACTCGCACTGCTCTTTTGAGCTTTGACTCTCAGTCGAACCCACATGACCCATTCGCACCCAACGTGACCCATTCGAAAACAGCATGACCCATTCCCACGGCCTGTAGCGGCTCACCCACTCCCACGGCCTGCAGCACGGAGATCCAGTACGAACCAATGACCCATTCCCACCGAGCGTGACCCATCCCCACCCCGGCCCATTGAATCACCCACGCCCACGGCCTGCAGCACGAAGATCCAGTACGAACGAATAAGACCCATTCCCACCGCGCGTGACCCATCCCCACCCACGGCACATTGAACTCACCCACGCCACGGCCTGCAGCACGGAGATCCAGTACGTGTCGTCCAGCCCCGCTTGAGCTGCCACGTGTCTCCTCCGCGCTCCTGACGGCGACAATTGCGGCGCCGAAGACGGCAAAAGCGAGCCGGAAAACGCTAATCGGCTGAGCTCGGCGGAGGGAACCAGGTGTGTCGCCTTGGCTTTATTATTCCCTGCCGAGCCGCACTGGCGTGTCAGTTTCACGGCGACTACTCTCCTATCATCGACCGCGCGCCGGACATGTACAATGGGGATTGTCGATCGTCGATTTTTACACGTGTCAAGCCGTCGGGACTCGAGAAAACCCGTCCGCAAGGAGAATGCAGACGGAGCCACAGTGGCTCTGACGTGGCAATGCATCGTGTCAAGTGATGTGGCGAAAGACCCGGTTTTTGTAATCTGTGCCAGGCGATTGGGACGACACAATGGCGGAGTTTTGGGGATGCGAGGGCGGATTCCGCAGCGAGTGTTAGACCCGTGGGTTTAGCCACTGGAAAATTATTGCCTCGGGTCTTGCGAAAAAAATGACGGCTCTAACCAGTCAGCTGTCAAACCGAACAACTAGCAATGTCGCGCAAATGAACTTCAACCAATCATAA